TTTCGAATATTCCAAAAATTAATGTCGATCTTGATATGATGCCAAATTTTGTGAAAATTGTTGTCGAACTAATATTCCCAAACATTGTTCATATTTGAACATTTATATTTACCAATTTCACTGAAGAAATATCAAAATGCGCTGCTTTAAACAGTGGTGAACAACCAACATATTGCAAACTGAAATTTGGAATTTTGGAAGGAATCAGTTCGAAATTAGCACCGCATTTTTTAAGATTTTATTTTGCCTCTTAGTGAAAAATAATAATTCTTTACCAATTTATTGAGCTAATTTTTGCAAATTTATGTTTGTCTTCATCCATCCAGAAGTATATAGAACTACATGTTTGCAATACACTGCTTGATCAGCGGTAAGAACGTCATATTTTTTGCAAAATTTACCAGCTAATGAAATGCATCTTTGAAGAACACAGTAAAATGTTAATAACACATGTACCGGATTTAAGAGTAAAGGCAAGTACCCCGTGGTGGATACATCAGGATCTGATTTTCCTGTTAAATTTGGTCCAGTAGCCAATTTTTGTTTTACTTTCTGATTTAGAAATGGAAAAAGTCAGAGGTCCTCCACCCTGCAGTCCACCACTGCTTTTGGTATTTCCTTGTAGTAAAAGGATTAGAAGCATCATAGCAGGATTCATCTACTCACTACAGGCTTATTAAAGCGCGGTTTTGTGCTTTGGCAAATAAGGAACAAGTGGGTAATTCATGCAATTAGTTTGGGTATACCTATTTAAAAAGTAAAGTATTCTTGGATGATCCATAATTGAAAACGAGTAGGTACTTAATCATATGAGTCACTTTGTATGTCACTGGGGAGCTATAATAATGACAAATTAAAAAAAATCGACAAATTTGCCGCCATTTTAAATACCTCACTTAGGGCCAATTGCACCGTCAAAATTAAGTATCCCTTAAAGTTAAGCATAACTTAAATACCATAGCAACGATTGTCTCAATAATCGTTGCCATAGATTTTAAGTTCGACTTAACTTTAAGCAAGACTTAATTTTGTTGGTGCAACTGGGTCTTACAGTCCGGATTTGGCTTTGGCAACAGACACTTTCGGATTTAACGGGGTTGAAATAGGGGGAAATGACTGCTTGCCAAAAGGCAATATGAAATGCTCTCCAAATTTCGATTTAGTTGAAGTAGGAAATTCAAAGGTACAACTCCTTGCAAAGAAAAACTGTCGCAGAATAATCACACGTGAGTTCTGAATTGCATTTATAAGATATGATTACATTTCCAAATTCCAAGTCTCCTGAGGTAGGTATCAACTTGCAGCAGGCGCAAGACCAAACATGAAACAGGATCGAACATTTTAACTTGTGCTAATTGTTGCAGGGTCCTTACTGCTAAGTACGGTGCGGAAGTCGTGCCATAAGTGACTGTGGTGAGTCTGTACTCCTTGATTGGCTCACGAGGGGAGTAGTGCCATAGTATGGTCTGATACCTTGATTTGCCTGTACATTTTTTCGATGTCAGCGGTCATTACCACAGCATATTGCCTCCATCCCAGTAGCAACTGCGAAAACTCTTCTTGTAGTGTTGAACTCGTCATCATGATTTCGTTCAGGTTTTTCCCTGAATGGGAGGTGGCACTTGCGTCAAACACCACTCGTAGCTTTGTGGTGGAGCTTTCTTCTTTTAAAACCTATTGCATGGTGTGGAATGTAGTATTTCGCTGTGGCCTCTCCTACATTCTGAGGTACCATATGCTCTTCATGCTCCTGCATGAAGGATTTGTGTTTTCTTTGTGCCCCCCAACTCCTCTGCTTCTTCTTTGAGCGACATGCTTAAGGTATAGAGGTTATCTTCATTTCTTGTTGTCTCTTGATACTTTCTCTCACATGTTCTTCTTCCTGCGATAGTAGGTACTGCCTCTTGGTTTTAGACTTCTTCCATCTCCCAAAACTTCGTCATCGTGCTTTCGTCTGTGATGGCTACCAAGCTCCCAAGCAGCATTATAATGATATTAACTGATTCCGCCACCTTAACTCGGTGGTAATCACGTAATAATCACCAAATTTACCGCAACATAGTCAAAATCACTTCATGATATGTTTTCAAAGTTATATTCACGTGAATGTCACTTCATCGTTTTGTAACTTCTTAGTGGGTTTGGAAATGGTGTGCAACCTTAAAGTTGTATGCACTTTAAAGTGGAAAGCAATATACGATAACTACGATAACCATGCAATATCACTTAAATGTTACTTACAAGTGGAAGTAACTTTAAAGTGTGTATGATAGTTTTAGCGACGTTCTAGTCACACCTGGTAAAGTGGCATAAATGTACTGGTGGCGGACACGATATTGTCACTTGGATAAGTGTTTGCCACATTTCGCATGAAATCATAAGTCACCCAAACTGGCAATCATCCTCAAAATTCACTTTAAAGTGCCGTTACCATATATATCGGCATTCTATAAACAATACATTGTCCTCCTTCAACGAAACAATTTTAAACGAAAACTTCTTCTTCGTTCGACAGTCAGAAAAGAAAAAAATTAAGTAAATGGCACCTGCTCTAATGAATGTAATGTCAAATAATATATGTGGGGGCACATTTAGGTGACGGCCACGTGTTCGCCACTTTAAAGTGGCCACAACTGTTTTGGAGTAGTTTTTTTGCCACTTGTTTATTGAACAGGACTACATAGTGGATTATTTTTAGTTTCTGACACTTTAAAGTTCTATAATCCAATAAACGGACATATTTATCGATCTACTAAGGACGCCATTTGCAGAAAATTGAGAGTGGAGTTAAACAAAATTTAATTTTGCCACAGTATCAGTTTTTATACAGTAATTCGATATGTAATTGTTGGTTTTAGGTACCCAACATTGATAAAAAAATCTGTTTGGGGTTAATTTCCGCACCTGAAAATTGTTTGATTTGAACTTTCTTCTTTAAATATCAAATATTTCAATGGCGCGTTGATAAATTTCGAGGTAGAACACCTACCATGTTTAGCAATAATTAGCAGACAGACATTCATAGAACGTAATGCATTTCAATAATGCCCTTTGAAACATAGGTACATACCACAGTGTTAGGTAAGTGATACTATAATAGACGTAATTTTGAAAAGTCGCAAGCAAAAGAACTAAACTAAAAGCACAGACCCCATCTTAGGTCTTTTCGACAGCGTCAAAAACAATACCTAGGTATATTGTGTCGGACTTTTACGTACCTATTACATACTTGAACCTAAAAACTATATTTAACAAGAGACATATGTAGGTACTTATAAGATCATGGTCATGTTATGTGAGTGTCGGTAGTCCTGTCTCCATTTACTCACTGCGGCCATATGCTTCCGACGCGACGTCTGAAGAGTTCAGCGTATGCAAAATTCCTGTTTTCGACTGAGAAAATACGACAGAATAGGTATCGCATAAATTGATTGAAATTAAGTGGCTTAATGCGTCCAACCGTAGAAAGTTAAACTACGCATGTTTTATTCATAAAATTATTTCTAATAAATACCCTCCGTATATCTGACCGAAAAAATTCAATTTAAAAATAATTTACATAATCATCAAACTGTCCTTTCTCAAAAGTCTTTTAGCTACAATACACTGAAAATATAATATACAACTCCCTTTCTTGCTTTTCCCAGAAACGCTCCAGAGAAACCTTAAATTGATACTCTTAGAGCAGCAACAAAACATTTGAGATATACATATTTCTATTTTCAGTTATAAATTATTTACCATTATCTGACTTATAACAATAACTAATGAATAAGGTTAAGTGATGGAACAGATGGTAGTTTGGTACTGCATATCTGAAATGCGCCCTTTTGGTATAAAGCGAAAGATAGTTTTAATGCTATTACTAAAATTATGTAATGTTTCTTTTGTACGTTGTCCAATAAAAAACTACTATTATTATTTATTATTAAATTTGGTTTGATATATGGGACGGCAGCGATCAGAAAAGTTCACAGGTCTGTGTGTCTACCGGAAATAACTGTCCGTATTCCGATTACACACTTAATTTTCTGCAGAAATACATTTTTATTGTATCTAACGAGATGCAGTTTTATGGGCGTCTTGGAGTCGTCTGCCTTTGCAAGTTCGAAGCGGCGCGGCGGACGGAAGTCATTTTGGTTCCAAGCCGGTTAAAGGTTGTCACAAACCCTTTCAAAAATCGTAGCCGCAGTATGCAAACCCATTTCCTTTATTTATAAACCCACCACCGTAGCTATATTATGGACTGAAATTCGCACTCTTGCTTTTAATTAGGCATAAGCGGAAGAGAATATTTATGGGGAGACTCGACCAATCCTTATAGTGCTTGTCTCACAGCTAAATGCTACCGGTAATGTAAGACGAACTAAATACAATCACATCCACCCATCGTATAGGTCAGAGCGTCATGAAAAGAACCTCTTCGGGGCATTCATTGTGACTTTCACAATGTTAAAACATTCTTTCAGTATATCATAATGTATTGACAGGCGATGAGATTTTAATTTAGTCACATTGTGCGTAATTGCGCATTTCGTCCAGGCTCTTCGGTATGCCAATTAAACACATTTAATTGGATGGGCGATTAATACGATTCATTATTGATTAGCATTAATTGGTAAATGAGTAGTTATTAGCGGCGTTGCTTGTAAATAAGTATATGCTCGATGTTCGGCTTTACCGATTTATGTCCTTGCCCTCGCATCACGTTCTGCAAGTGGTAATGACTTCTAAGGTTCATAAACCAAGTGGAAATTGTTTCGTTCTGGTTGCGGATGATAGCTGATTACTTGGATGAGCTTATGGTTTTGGTGAAGATTTGTGTTAAAGAGTGCATGATGTACTGTTCCGAATGGGTTGTCGCGAGCGGCGGCGAATGGATGACTAACAAATCCATCAGCGGTGGTGTCACGGTGGCGAGCTCAGCTACAGGTGCAATGTCCTCCTCGTGCAGGTGAGGGGCAGGGGCAAACTACCTGTCGTACTGCCCAGTACCTAGTGTGAGTCAGTCCGCGATCGGCAGTTCCTTCTAGCCGCTCTTGTTTACAAGTATCTGGCCTGCGAATGGCACTGGAAGAATTCACGGGGTACTTTAAACTTCTCGTGGACTTTGAGTGCCATCCTCAAAGTCAGAAATATCGAGCGATTAAGTCCAGCACCAACATCGCACCATAGTGCAAATCATTATTTGACGTCAACAATCGGTAGTTTCTAGGAAATTGTTAGTGTTATACGTGGTGTTGTAAGTTTCATTTTCCTAATTAACCCTGAGAAAATCAAGTGCGTGTTTACATACAATTCAACCAGTTAGGTGAGCTAATTGGTAAGTTTTACCTTAAGAACGCCCGGATTGATAACGCAAAATTGCCGAAAATAATTAACGCCGGCCTTACCTAGGTATTTAAATTACCTTTAGACATTAAAATTAGAGACACGTTGGAATTCCCTTCGAAGAACCGCTTTAATTCCTATTAGAAAAACAATTAGTGGGCATCTAAAGAGATGACGTGAAGGCGAATCCTACAACAATACAGCTGTTAGAGGTTCTTGATCTTTTAAATGTATTCAATTAAAATCCCGTGTAGCATATGTCGTCGGAATAGCAATAAAAAAAAATAAAATTTACAGGTAGATCTTGGCAATAATAGCAAAAGTAAGATGCAGCCGTTCGTTCCGCTTGGGTCGGCGAACGTCCGGGAAACGCTGGTCGAAGTTGTCAGTCCATAACGTGGCCCCCTCAACCGTTTCGCTCTGATGCTTCGCCCGCATAGCAGACTCATTATCATCGAACAGGCACGAGAAAGCACGCCACTGTCTATGCCGGAAAACATGCTCAAATAACGTGGATCATCATGGTACTCAGAAGATGAACATTCCCATAGTTTTTTTTTGTTCCAATTGTATTCCGGTTTTTTTTCTTTCTTTATATTACATGGTTGGTGTGATACGTTGTATAATCATCTAATTTTAACTTGGGTGATTATGGTAAAATAATTTGTATAGAATGGGAATTCACAGAGAAGTTATTTTTGTGAAATTTTTGTAGGGCCTAACAATCAATTTGTAATATATTTTTTTGTTGCAGATCACCTTTTTAAGCCAATCAACAGCACTAATTCGTAGCAATTAGAAAATTAGTCCATTTCGAACGTGCCAAAAGCTGAAGACTTTGTTGTTGAACGCACACGCACGTTGAATAAATTCCAGCAATAAAGTGAAATTTAGTGAAACGTTAGACCAGATGCGTTATTTTTCAAATGCTGAAAATGGTTAGTGGTTGCGAAGTGATAGTAACTTAAATTGTGCCGCAGATTTACAACCCTAGCCAGAAATTGACGTCACTGCAACTTTTCAACCCCCTTATCGTGATGATTTCATTGATGATGGCCATTATGTTCTTTCCTAGTCTTTCGAATTCTACAAAAAATGCATCTGGTTCAAGGTGTCGTTTCAATTACTGGAATCTATTGCTAATTTTTAGGAAAACTTTCATTTGGATCGTTTGAATCGTAATGTAGATGTAGACCCTGTTAATACGAGTATATCTGTCTGTCTAATCGGTCTAATCAGTACTGAAAATATTTTATATCCTACGAACGTTACAACCCTGGCAAAATTTATCGTAGCAGTGGAGGGCGGACGGATATAGATCTACATTTTTATGTGCAGTCATATAGTCCAGTCATTCTAGGAACTATAGAAAAAAGAATTCATGCAGTTCCAATTTTTTCGGGAATGTGTGGTTGAAGGTCCCCTGATGATTGTGTAATAAAGTCCTGAGCAATTTCCGTGCCGCCGGAGGAAGGGGAGGGGGTTGAAAGTGCAGTTTTGCGGTTTTTCTCGAAAATGCTCGTATGAAACAATTTTCTTATCAAAACTGAAACCTTATCTAGTATTCTACAACATTTTTTCCAAAAAAACGCATCGTTTTCAAGTGGCTGGCTGTAAGTAATTAAATTTCCTTCAAGAATCATAGATATGTGTGGTATTTATGCTTCGACAGTTCGACTTTACCTACCCAGGGCCGGATTTAGCATGGGGCCATGTGGGCCCGGGCCCATAGCGGTAAATTTTTAGGGGTGGTAAAAAACCAAATTTGGGAAATAATTCTACAGTACTATCGTGGGAAAATAACATAACCTCTTAAGAAATTGAAGTTAGAATGTTACGGGCACTCTTATCAGTTTAAAAGTAATTGTGAAATTTAGAATAACATAACCTCACATTTCGACAAAATTATATGAACTTTGAATTAAGATTGTGGAAAATTTAGGGCTTCTCCCGCAAGTTTTGTTGTTGAAAAAACTACTATAGCAATTTTTGTTATTTATTTATATTAGAATTGTACCTGAGGAGAGCTTAATAACGTCACGTAACCATTAGATTCTCTGAAACACGATTCAGTGGTTACATTTACATGTTTGTAAATTAGATTTCAGTGTTTAAACTGTCAAATAAACTTGGTGATTAAACTTGAAATTCGTTATATGAAATTGATGTCATTTATTACTTTGGAAAACCACTTCTAAATTTCACACTGTAAATATTACGTAACAACGTAAATATATTCATAAAAGTAAAATTATATACAGGGTGTTTAAATAAAAATGGGTGATAGGGGGAACAAGACAGGCACATATTCCAAATAAACCGAGGGTCCTACGTGTTTCCTTTGGGAGTCACTCCCAAAGATGTGGTGGAATTTGGATTTCTTCTTTAATTTTTTTCTCAACAACCATAAGAGTTACCTACCCTTTCGGGCCCAGTAAAGGCTGCAAAATGTTAAAAGTTAAAAAACCAAAATTTTTTCGGCAAAACGGTTTTTTTGATTTCGTTTATATTTTGCCAGTGTATATTAGGCATAAAGGATGTCAAATTTTTTAGCGCATTTTTGCAAATTTTATTTGTAAAAAGTAGCTTTTAATCTCATTTTGGCTGGCTGGCTGGCTGGTCGGCTGGCTGGCAGCAAATGTGGGCGCGTAGAAGAACTCTTGTAGAAAGGCAACGGGTGTACGTGTATCTACAAGGCCGTGTAATTTGTAAACCTTGGGGACAGGGCTACATGATGTGGGGTTGGCGACATCTGGGCGTAGTCCTCGAGCGTAGTATACTAACGTGAAGGTTTTTCAGTTTTTTTCCTATCTTCTACTACAGTTTTGGTCCGATTCTTTTCAAATTGGTGTCGTCGGAAAGATGTTGTAAACGAATTTTGTTTTTTGGCCTAGGGGCGAAATTAACCACCTTTTGCAAGGCGCGCGCGCGCGTCTTCGAGAGGTAGTCAACTTCTGGCACCTTTTACCTTCCATTGCGAATTCTGTCACGCGTTTTAACGTTTCGTAAATCTCGAATGGCTGTCTCTTTCTCGTGTCGCCAATAGAAGCTCGAGCAATGAGTAGTGCCCCCCAAAAATTAAGTACTATCTTGTGGAAGGTTTTTAGCGAGATCCACCAAAATGTGGGTGTAATATAAGTATGCACCGAAAAAGGAAATATGGTAGCATCCGACAAGATCTAACTGATGGTGGAGAAAAATCTTCAAACACGAATTGCGGGTGAACGGGACATCGGAAGTGGGTATCCTTCGACAAGATCTTTTATTCATGGTTGAGTAAAAAGTGGCTAATAGAATACTGATCTGCCACACAAAAATGCGCTGAAGTCCCTTCGATCTCACACGAGGACTTTGATAATTTTTTTTAATATATGAGTTTTTAGCGCCGTGTCGTCAAACTGTTTTTTCAAATAGTAACCCACATTTTTTATTAACGAGCGAAGTTTTCGAGTGGTCACCCGGGGTTACCCATTCAGATACGAGTATTAACCGTGAGCCACGTTGCTTGACTGTAGACAATAAGTGAATTATGTATTAGTATAATAAGCAACAGTAAAAAAATTGAAAAAAAGTGCGTGAAGTCGTAACACAACAACGTGGATCGTAAGGCATTTACGAGAGAACGTATCTATCATAAAAACTTATCGGCTATTGCCAATTTATTAAAATTATTAATTTAATAAGGAGTAAAATTTGTTTTTGTCCGAGCATAAAAATGGAATTCGGAACAAATACCTAAAGATAAGTAACGGGTTATAGCGTTACGGTGGTAACAAGCACAGATATCAGTTTTAGGGGATGATTTATAGGGGTCTAACTGCATAAGCGGGACGAATTGGAGTGTAGCCGAGGACATAGCTGCCATTTCTTTTATAAGCTGCGACTACCAGTTCCGTAACCTTATATTTCATTCAATGTTAATTAATTTATATACAGTATGGCCCATTTATCTTGACACAGTCAATTATTACGAAAACTCGAGGGGATATAAAAAAATGATTTATATAAAATCTTCTTCATATGAAGGGGCTCATTTATTGATGCTATATGCACGTTTTCACATAACTGTCCACATTGGATTTACGCATGTGCCACGGCATTAACGAAGAAACGCAAATTTTGGAACTTTTGTGGCCTGTTGGCATAGGTTTATTTGGAAAAATTCAAGTAAGTAGTCAGTCGATGCTGTTTAAACAGATTTTTCTTTTGCTAAGAAGATAGGTATCTATCGGGGGTGTTAGAAGCATGACAATAATATAAAGTGTGTCGCCGTATATTGACTATAAGTACGCGTAATTGATCAAAAATCTTTGAATCTTGTTTTGATGTTTTGGAATCAACGGCCTGCTTGGTCTCAAAAGAATGTCAAGCACATTTTTACTTTTTTAAATCCAAGGCCGTGACAATTGAGAAAAAAATAATTATGATCTTGTGGTAATCGTTTTAGGCAAGCGATTGCCGAATAAAACAAAAAAACATAGATGATTAGTTATGGAGTTAATTTTTTATAAATCGATCCTTTTCGGTATTTTTGAAGAACTTTTAATCGGGTCCGATTTTTAAAATTTGCTAAACGTAATTTTGGTCAACGCACAAAACTGCAAAACTTTACACATTTAACTTAATCGCTATCTACTAAATTAGTAGGTAAAAACTTATTTCAATTTAGTGCTCATTACGAAAATCTTACACGAACAAATTGCAAAGTCCAAATAAACAATCATTGAACATGAATTATAAAAAAATTATTGTTGTCGTTAAAGGCAAGCCAGTGAAGTATGAGATCATCTTCTTTACAAAAACAGAATGCTAAGGTTCGAGATACGCCCGCTTTTTTGTGTATGCACGGTAGTCAAGTGGTCTTTGGAACCTATCCATCCAAAAGCCTTAAAATTTTCGTTTCTTCAGGAAATTTATAACACAACAAATAGAAGAATTTGAAGAGGGTAGGTTTAGAGTTTTAGGTATACCCTCTCTGACACTGTATAAATGCGAACGGAGGTGAAAAAAAGCTGATTTCGACAAACAATTTGGTAGGTATCTGAGGGTTTTTCAACACGAAAAGAACTGATGCATAATTACTTTTTAGAAATTCGAAAAAGAATCCAACTGCAATTTTTGAGTGGGCAACAGAAACTGCCAGGATTTCGTGAAAATTGGTGGACCTGAAGAAACTGAAAAATTGAACTGAATGAGTTCAGAGAAAAGAAAAGAAATTTAAAAAACTTGAGCATGTGAAATAATCCGTAAAAGGAGAATAAACTCCTAAAGAGCATTTAAAAAAGCGGCACAGCACCTCGGTGTGACCCTACGGAGTCATTGGATTTGACCCATTTTCAATTGGCCTGTTACATGTGGTATATATTGCTGTGTTTATTTCGTCCGGTAGGATGAAATTTTAAGAAATCTTAATTAAGATGGACAAGGGCGGTCTTTTTTTGGTAATTAACATTTGTAGTTCAATTTTATTAATTTGTCATTGGTCTATGTAACGGCATTGAGATTATTGTACTAAACGACAAAGCGGTCAAGGTTGTTTTTGTTTACATTTTCATTATATTTAACGTAGAATTTCTGGGATTTGTTGGATCTTTATCTGTTATCAATTGTAAATGCTTCATTTAATTGACAGGTGGCTGTGATTTATCGTTTTTTCTGTATAGTTAAGAGAAATGAAATTTTATTTTTTCCCAGAATTCAAGTTTGGATTTATCTCTTAATGTCTGATAACAAATTGATTTATAAAAATTATTCGACCTCTCTTTTTTGGTCTATTAACGTACGTTGGGGGGTTCGCTTTTGTTGTCAACTGTGTATGATTGGTTGTTATAATTTTGATTTTCGGAACGAGGGTGCGAAACCCTTACGGCGAACGTAAATAGGACGTTAATAAGAAAAGCGTCGCTTTTAGCCAGAGTGTAGGCAGTACTACGCTTCGTTGAAAAATTTAAATCGGCTTTTTGCCACAGTCAACGCAGAACTACGTTTCTTTGAAAATTTAAATCAGCTAAAAATATTAAGGTTCCTAAATTCCCGATGAATTGAAGACTTTGGAGGATCTAAAAATCTGAAGAACCTACAAATCCGAAGAAACGGAAGAATCCGAAGGATCGTAAACATCTGAAGGTTTTGATGGAAGAACCTGAAAGTTCAAAGAAATAAAAGTATCTATGTATCCAAACTAAAAACTAAAGGATATCAAGCATCCCAGGAAATGAAAGATGTTAAAGAATCCTACAATGAGACAAGGAATTTAAAAAGTCAAAAAAAACGAAAGAATCCCATATGAGTATTGGAACAAAAAGAAACGCGGAAAATTCATTGTCTACGTGCTGAAAATTGTATACATCATTGTTGACACATGAAATTGTCAGTCCCTGCCCTGTACCATCAAATTTTTGCTTAATTCTTGCACCCTGTATACGCCTTGAGTCTATACTAACGGAGCGCCTCGAGTCCCCTTTTGTTTACTCATGATTATAACCTCATTTTACAGTTACACATAACCTTGCTAAGGCACTAACTAAAAAACAAATGTAGCTTTTAATTATGCTACTTCAAAGGTTCAGAGTTTTTCTTAACTTGAGACAATTGTCAAGCATTCGCAGTCAAGAATTACAACATTCACAGGAAGGTAATTCTGCATTCAAAGAACCTTCGGAGTTGGACCTTGTCGAAAATGAAACGCCACAGCGATCTGTGCTTGATGAATGCACAGACGATATCTCACATGTTGCTCCATATCTAAAGCCCACTTTTAACTTCGCAGCTTACGTAAACAAATCGCACACGTTACAAGAATTAGTTAAGTTAAACGTAGATTTAAGCGTACTTGAAAAAAAACCGGAAGTTGTATCCTTCATTTTAAAATTAGAATTCGAAAAAGATGTTAAGGACCTTGTTATATTTTTAAGCGAGATTGGAGTAGACGATGTTGGTGCCTTTATCACGAAAAACCCATTCATTCTTAAAGCTGATTTGGATAATTTACATGTTCGTGTAAATTACTTAAAATCGAAACGTTTCACAAACGGTATGATTGCGTCAATTGTCACACGAAATCCCATCTGGTTGAGTACAAAGTAAGTTGGAAGCACAAGCCAGGTAGTTAAATCTAATAACTCGTTTGTCTAGTACACAGGACATTGATAGCAAGTTAGGCTTCTTCCAGAAAGAATTTCAACTGACAGGTAAAGAAGTGCGAGCACTTGCTGTGCAGCAACCTAAACTAATCACCTTTCCGTTGCAACGTGTGAAACTGAATACGTTTGTCTTCAAAGAAGAGATGGGTTTACGAGATGACGAAGTGAAGTCAATGTTGCTGAAGAAACCAAATTTATTTATGAAGTGTAAGGAGCCCTAAACCGCATTGATCATGATCCTTTCAAATGTAAATTTTAGCACAAGCAAATTTGTTGAAAACGTTCGAGTTCCTTCATAAAAAAATGAATATACCAATCGAGAGGATAGTCGAAGTGCCGGAGGTCTTGATGTGCCGCTTGTTTAGAATAAGGCAGAGGCATTTGTTTTTAGATAGTTTAGGGCGTGCACAGTATAATCATAGAAACCCGAATTATGTCTCACTTTTACAGTTAGTTTCGGGATCAGATGTGGATTTTTCTGTAGATGTAGCAAAATCGTCTGTTCAAGATTTTAATTTATTTTTAAAAAGTTTGTAATATACTTATTGATATAAATTGTTATCTGTTCACCTTATATGACCTTATTAAATTCCGTCTATTACCATAGGGCATAGAGTGCCCCAAGATAGCATATAGGTATATCGTGTTCAAGTAAGTAGAGTGACGAAATAAGAGGAAATAAATGGATAAATTTAAGGGAATGCTAGAAAATAGGGAAATTAAAGGAAACGGTGAAAATTTTTAGGCAATAAAGAAAATCTTTGTCCCCTAAAATAAGTCCCTACCAACGCGCGGTTGTTTAGTCGCCTTTTACGACACGCAGTGCCTCTGCGGTAGGTGTATTCTTTCCCGCCCCTACACGGGCATAAAAGTCAAGCCAACGTTGTTAAAACCTCAAAAAAAACACTATCAGAAAAGACAGAACAATTTTCCTAGTCAAATATAATGTATATAAGCACAAAGCTATCAACGCTCAAAAAAAGATTTTCGACTATAAGGAGAGTAACTTTAAGCACATTTTCCATGAATTGATCGAAATATTCTTATAAATAAGTTAACCTTATAGCATTGCACAGTCTGCGCATGCGCACACCTGACTTAATTTTAATTCTCTTTTTTAGCATTGAATAATAAACCTTTTTATTCAATGGCTATAGTTTTTATTAATTTGGTGCAATCGTAACATAATTACATAACATACTATTTTACTTGTTTGAAATACCGTGGAAATACTGAGTATTGCTTTGAGCTTTGATTTCAGAACCAGCTTTAGGTATATGCGAGTTTTCTTTAAGTAGGTATAGGTACTATCATTGTATGTATATAATGGTACTACTGTGGGATCAAAAATGAGTTGCTGTCGAGTCACCTTTGGAACTTTTGTTTACATGGAAAATCGTATTTAACTTCAACTTCCAAAGGCGACTCGACAGCAACTCATTATTGATCGCCCGTTATACAGTGTGTAAAACGATGGGGTATACAAGAGCGAATTTTTTTTAAATATTGATTTGTGAAAAAAATTATTCTTCATGGTATTTTTTGCTTGCTTTGAAAGTATCAATAACGTTTCGATAATTTATATAAATTTATTTATAGAAATCTGGAAAAATCATAAAATTAATTTTTTTTATTGAAAGTTATCATTCTACATTTTAATCAAGATAGCGTATTGCTACCAAATCACAAACAATCGAAACGTTATTGGTACCTACTTTCAAAGCAAGCAAAAAAATATCATGAAGAATAAATTTTTTTCATAAATCAATGTTTTAAAAAAATTCCCTCTTGTATACCCCATCGCTTTACACACTGTATAACATCAGAGAAATGATCAACATCTGCAGTTGTATCAAATTTAGTTTAAGTAACAATTTGACTGTAGAACGGGGTGAAAACAGTCACAGTAGCATTCTTATACCTAATTGCCCTTTATCCTATAAATGGAAAATATAATCTACTTATGTACAATTTAACTTTATTTACGTACATTTCACACCTGCAATGAGCACCTCTTTCATAGGATATATACGGCAATTATGAGAGAGCTGTCAGAGAAAAATCATATACCTAGAGCTTGTTACTGAACCCAAAATTCTCATTTATTCTACTTTAGTTTCTTTGAAAAAACTTTTTTAGAATTATCAAAAAACGTGAGAAAGTGGAAAATAATTGATGTGGTTTTTCTGCTTCCACACGTTCATATTAGCTGATCTCGTTCTTACTTCCAGCAATGGTCCTCGCATCGAATGTATAATATAAATTTAATGGTCCTAGCAACATTATATTAAAATTTAAAAAGTAGTCACCAACTAAATTAGTGCTCCAGGTCGACTTTTTTGTGCATCATTACTAAATATACCAAAGCAGCCATTTGAAAAAATAGTGGACCAACTAATTCAAAATGTTTCATTACTAAGACGCATTTCTAGCCTTGGACTTATTTATCTCGACTAAAAATAGCCACTGGTAAAAAATGGCAATTATTTAAGAAATATGATGCAGCTTGGGTAATTTGTGACAAATTGATCACCCAAATCTTTTCAAAAGGTTCATGCATATAATTCCAAAATGGAAATTTTAAAAAACAAATACAATGTGAAATGTATGTGTGCTCGTAGCACAGTTTTAATACACCTTTTAAATAAAAAAAAGCAACATAAATAAAGAGCTTTATTTAAGTCCAACAAAATTACAAAAGAAATATTTATTTTTGGGCTGCTGCTGCTGCTGCTGCAGCCGCCTCATCTTCCTTTTGATAATTTTGAATGACTTCCTGTTTCTTGAGGGCAATTCTCTCTTCTCGTCGCTTACGTGCTTCCTTAACTTTCAATCGCCTCGCTTCAGCCTGATCGTGCAAAGACTTCGTTCTTGCTTTCTCCGCCTTCTTCTTATGAATGTACTCCATTAATACTCTCTTGTTCTTAAACACATTACCCTTGGCCTTCATGTACAATAAATGATACAAGTGCCTATCAATCTTTTTGGCCTCGCGGTATTTCTTCAATAAACGCCTCAGCACTCTCATTCGTTGTATCCACAGTTCCTAAACGGCACATGTTACATTAATGGACGAGAAATTAAACAAATTTACCTTTTGTGGCATTCTAGCGTTGGCTGTACCTTTCCTTTTACCGAACCCGCAGTGTCTGCCTTTGCGCCTAGCTTCAGTATTTTTACGAACGCGAGCGCGCGAGTGGACTGCGACCGGTTTTTTGATAATAAGACCATCTTTAATTAGCTTGCGAATATTTTGGCGAGAATTGGTGTTTGCGATCTCGTTAATTTCATTAGGATCTAACCAGACCTTTTTCTTACCGCATCTCATAACAGAGGCGGCTAACCTCTTTTGGAGCTTTAAGGAGCTGAAAAGAATTAATAAGCAACCATTGTACTCTACACAAATATAGAATTTTGTTAAAATTATACTTGACAAACATTAAGGTTAGGGTGAATGGAAGAACATATTTTTAGGCATGTGCGAGTGAATTTTTAAATATCATTTAATTAAACGTAAATAACGGGCGCAAGCATGTAATATTCTTAAATGTAAAGCTAATAAACTTAAAAAATAAGAAATTCAAATAATTTACCTCATGTTTCACAATTAATAGCAATGCTGAAAAGAGGAAAAGAATATTGTCAATTGTCAGAAATGAAAAAACGTGTTAAACAGGTTAGCCAACGTAACATTTTTATTGGTTACCAAACAATATACAGGGTCGGGCAAACGTATGGCATATCTTTTTAGATAGGGTCGGAAGGAAGGTATGGATTATTTGGAACTTTGAATATAGAATACGGGCATAACTGTTACACACTCTTTTTCTAAGGAAACTAAAGTTTTATTTTTTCAATGTGTAGCTTGGATGCTGCCATTACAAGTTGTAATTGCAACAATCAAATAGAAAAAAATGTTGATTCCCTACATTTCTATTTTAAAGCCATATACATGTTGGGTATTTTTACCCAGCGCACGGGAAGGATCAAAGAAATTGGAAAAACTTTTTCCATGCGCAAGCTTGAAAAAGGCCAACTTCTATTATTTCCAATACCTATACCTATAGGAATTAATACGTATGGGCTATGTATCTCAGAGTATTGTTAATCTGAGCTATGTATAGGTACTTTAAATGTCAATGTATTGAATACATAAGAACTAAAAATGTCGATACTTACAAAACGTACCTTATGAAGCTGCCTTCCACACGTCGAAACAAATTAAAACTGTTTTTAATTAATTAGGTACGCTTTTCCCCGACATCGGAAAAATACGGGACGGTGTCAAAATTCAAGGTAATTAAGAGCGCTTCTTTTGAGACAAGGTCCAGCTCACTTAATTGAGCGTATCTCAGCTCCAATATTCGTTAATCCAACATATGGAATCTAAAATGATATTGTTAATTGCCTAATAAAATGTAAATCTTAAGATTTTAAATTGGCGTCATTTTCCCCATGCCAAGTGCTGTAGGATGCTACAAAACTAATTTACTTATCCCTACGGGAATTATTTGAAAACGGATTAATTAAATACAGCATTATCGGCGGCTACGAAAAAAACCCGTTCTTTTCCCTGTTAATTCCAATTCCTAAAACAAAATTAAACATGTTCAGAGCTATCGTCTTCGTAACAAAAGCGCTTCCACGTCGAGTCGACTGGGTGTTCCTCGACGCTGGTAGCTTCAAGGCGAAAGATAAATAACTTTGCTACAATATTGCATTTTATACATTAAAGTATTTTTATTGCAGACCACTAGTTTTCCATGGCGAACAAAAGATGGCAGTATTGTTTAAGACGACAATTTCTTAGTTATCTAGAATTATTTTTACTTTAAATAACACACAAAACACAACGAACGTGAACATTCATGTGAATACAACAAATGTCATATAATGTATATTTAGAAAACTACGCCCTTTTCAAAAACTCCAAAATATATAGGGTTGTCAATAAATGTAATTTGGTGTCATATAAAAAACCAAACACTCTGTATAAAATGTGTACCGCCATGGATTCTACATAAAAAGAATTTGCCAAAATCAGTTGTCTTTAATATCAAAGTTATGGGGCATTAAAAAATCGACTAAATTCGAGACACGCCCCCTAGCGACCAAACGATCAGAGATAGTTGAATTCTGTTTTTGCCAGTAATGTTCTCATTAAAATTGAGCCTTGGTTAATTTTTTTCTATCATATTAAATAAAGGGGGTTTACATAAGAAAGTGTCCAATTTAGACAACCCTGCACATTACCTACTTGAATGAAATTGAGATCACTTTCTTACATACTTTATTGTAATCCTTTTGCTACGACAACGAACTTTTAACAATGTTCAATGGGATTCATCGTCGTTCTATCAAATACAATTATTAACAGCACACTTTATTTACGTTCTAGTACTAAATAACAACCAAAATAAATACATTAAAAAATATATTACAAGTGTGAATATGCGATGAACACTTTCTGAATGATAAATAAATCTAAGATCTGTCAAGATTGCTATTACAAATTTCAATGTTGAAAAGAAATATACAACGAAAGTGAGAAAACTAAGTTTTCCAGTTCGACTAGATCCATTGATCAGGACAATTCTCATGTCTACTAGTTAGATTGAATATTGTACTATTATTAACTGTAAAGAACTTATTCAATAATTTGTCTTGAATCGATTTACACTATGTCTAGTGAACTTCTACTACACTGCTACGAATCGAATGTGTCCATTAAATAACAGAAGTGATGCTTTATTGTCAATGATTAAATAAATTCTAAACAGCGAGTTTGAAATTGCACTTTGAAGCAACTCTAAGCTTTAAGAGCCTTCATGAGACCATCGGTAGACATCGACTTCGGTCTCTCGATTGGTAAACCTAAAGCACGATCCCACACTAACGATGCTAAAACTCCAAGCGCTCGAGATACACCAAACAAGACGGTGTAATAATTCATCTCCTTAAGTCCATAATACTAAATAAAGCAAAAGGTCAGTGAAAATAATTTATTGTCGGTCCCTTATAGCATACCTGTAAAAGAACGCCAGAATGAGCATCAACATTCGGCCATGGATTCTTTACTTTTCCAGTCTCCAAAAGAATTGGGGGCACTACTTTGTAAATGCTGGAAACCAGCTGAAAAGAAAACCATTGTAGATTTGGTGTTATTAAATTGATATCGCATTCAGGAAGGTCAATCGAACTTATAATCACACATTCTGTTGGAGAATGTTTACCTGGAAGAGTGGATCATTTGGTAAGTGTTTCATAGCGAACTCTCTTTGGCATGTGTAACGTGGATCTGTTTTTCTAAGTACTGCGTGTCCATAACCGGGTACAACTTGACCGGACTTCAATGTTTTCCATATGAAATCTTTTAATTGCGATTCTGTCGCCTTGTCACCTAATTGCGTTCTAAGTTTTTCGAGCCAAATAAGTACTTCTTGATTCGCCAATCCGTGGAGAGGGCCCGCCAATCCGTTTAGGCCGGCCGCAAACGAAATGTACGGATCGCTTAAAGCGGAACCGACCAGATGAACTGTGTGAGCAGAAACGTTGCCTCCTTCGTGGTCACTGTAAAATCGCACGTTTGCAAATGTGACATTATGTTAATAAATGTTTGCGACAAAATGAGCTTACTTGTTTCAAAGCACTTGTGGATGTTGAATACTCAAAATATAATTGTAAGTAATGCAGATGATGCATAAATAGTTAGTAAAAACTTTATACAGTGCTATTTATTAAGAAGTAGACATAGGGATTTATGTATATTGTTTTTCCCTGTGTCTATACTTTCAAAAGACAAAATCTCTTCTGAAGGGCGCCTAATTTTAGCCATCCAAAATAACTTTTTAAAACAAATAAACATCTGGCTGTCATATTAATTAGTTTGAATATTGTTGCCTTGACCTAACAGAAAATAAATCCCTTACACTTCTTATTACCGGCACTATACCATTACCCATTTAGAACAGATTCCCAGGTCCGCCAAAAATTTAGGAACCGTAAAGCAACCAGGAAAAAAATTAAGTTAAGGCTAATTTTATTTAGAAGCAACAATAAGGAAGTATAATGCTAGGTATAACATTTAATAGTAACAAGGAAATGCTGAACAACAAGGAAAATGCGTAGATCAGGAAACAAAACTGCAAACGATTGTAATTAAGCAATTTGTTGACAAGGTTGTCATACTAGGCATTTACTGCATACTTTATAGTTAAGGTATGTTATTAAGGAAGTAAGTCTATGATGTAAATAGCATATAGTTCTTACACTAAATATTATCCGTTAGCATTTCGAACTGTCGGTATCATACCCAGTTGTGTTACGAGATACTCCCAGACTAAATTTTACGTTCGCATAAGTTTGCTTGGGTGTTCGTTAGGATTTACAACCCTAGCGAAACACTATGTCTGCTTATTAATAAATAGCACTGCATACCATCCTATTAAACATACAGGGTGTTCCAGATGCAGTTGGATTGCATGGGTAACTTTATAGGTATTGAAGGTAGAGATTAGTAAAGTTTGAAAGGTTGACGACCGGTATTATAAAGCATAGTTAACTATGTTGTTCATTCTTTGAAAAAACCTCCCCTCCACATGTTTTAGCAATAAGCATATAAGTCAACATTTTTTGTAAAGAGTACCATCCAATGCGGTTCTTAATTTTTTTTTTATTTTGCAAGGTTTGAGAGTTCTTTTGGTCTTTGAAACAAAAGACATAATATAGTTTTTCAAAGCACACTTCAGGCACAATTGGGAACAATAAATAACTTGCGTCGATGATAGTGGGGAGCCAACTAACAGATAGACACAAAACATGCACGCAATCGGTGCTGACACATGACCCTTTAAACGGGTGTTTTGGTATAGCTTTTTTGAAAGTTAAACTCATTCATAATGGCAGTTTTACCAACTGAATCGAAGAAATGTAAATGATATACCCAAACTGTACTAGATGACTAACGGCATGTTGTAAATGAAATGCAACTGTGCTTTAATTGTAATACAAACCTGTGAATTGTTAGGTACAAACGCATCAATTCAATAAATTGAGGATCGTCATAACCCAACATAGAAGTAAAATTATAACTCCAATCTTTTGAAGTATCTATGGCTCCGATTCCGGAACCGTCCTTAAACGTATTTCTATAAATAGTGGCGGCAACCACGGGTAACTTCGCAATTAAATCCATGCTATCCTCGTAAATGTATTCCCAATATTTCGACTTATGTACACCGCTAGCGTAGGCTTTGGCGAATTTACTTTCACTATTAAGAACGGTAACTGCGGCGGACAACTGCGACATCGGATGAACAGTGTTGGGCATATTGTTCAGGAGGGTAACAACGTGAGCGGGAAGCGCGGCTCGTTCGGCCCATTCCTTTGACAGCGCTTTGACCTAGAATGGAAAATTAAGCAAACAAGTGCGACCATTGGTAGGGTACCTGATTATTATTTGGAACGTCCCCTGTGATCAGTAACCAGAATAGGCCTTCAGGAAGGGGCTCTTCTCCTCCCGGGGCTTTGGGAAGCATCTTCTGACATTCGGGAATCGTAAATCCCCTGAATCGGATACCTTCATCCGCGTCTAATACTGACGTTTCGCACACCAAACCTTTGATGCCTCGCATACCGCCGTACATCTGTCAACATTTTTTACAATATAAGTCACTTTTGCGTATCTTTACAAATGGTAACGGCAGAAGATTAAAATTTAAAAAAAAGACATATTTTATGAGGTAGTTCCAAGATTTTATAATTCTGTGTCGTGACCTCCTTCAGATAAATCTCTCACAAGGTTAAAGTGTTCGTCTCATTGACCTCCATTTTCATAGTACTAGTGACATAACTAAATCAAGGAGTGACCTGCATAAGATAAGAGTAAAAGCTGTATCAACAATTATATTAATAATTTAACTCAATAAGTTAGCCAGTGATATATCTATAGTAACAAAGTAATTCAATTTTAATCAAGAATAAATTTGAGACGACAAAATAGCTGTAAAGCGAAAGCATTTTTTCTACTCGACTATGAAAGAAACTGCAAAATAGCCTTTAAGCTCTTTTTCAAATATGAAAGATGCACTACAAATAATCAAAGTAAGTCATCACCAAGAGAGCAGAAGTATAGATTTTGCACCTTATTCAGACTTTTCCTTTGTTGGTACCCTCTTTGGACATACCGTTTTTTACATCTGTTGCCAAGGGAGGAAATGTACAACATCGTTCGCGTTGCGTTTTGCCCCCAACAAAACAGATAAGGGTAATTTCCGCCACTAAACTACCATGAATACTAATTTTTGGTAAACATTGCGAATAAATGCCGATGAATACTAATGAATTGCAGTTTTTAGCTCTCTACATGTTAGGAAATAATTGTATTTTCAACCGTTCCCTCAGCAGATTAGGAGAAATGTTTGGCTACAATAAGGGTTAATCTCGGGGTTAATATGCTTAAACAAATTGTTTGAACCATTTGTTTTAATAACGGTTTAACATTTTAGAATTGTAAAAATTTTAAAGTAAAACATGAGTTGGTTCATACCTACGTATTTACATAGTTATTTATTTTTAGGCATGTAGATAAAAGAAACTCGCCGTTATCAAAACTTAAAATCAACAAAAACTTCCATTATAGTATACAATAAAACTTAAACGAAGATGATTTTATAAAAACATACCTCATAGTACAATGTGCTAGTTTTTAGCTATCCTAACTACTTTTATTAGAGAGATTATATTTGTTAGTTCGTATGAGAATTCAAATGTTTTTCTTCAAACGTCATATAATACTGACTTTGCGTAACTCAGCACTCTGAGTTAAAGTTTTGACTTTTTAAAACAAGTGAAGTAATGGCTAGCACATAGCCTGCTTTGTCCAGTTCTTGTTGGTCATGCTCATGAATTTGTTCGTTTTACGTCTGGTACAAGTCTTCAATTATATTCCCATAAAGGCATAAACCGTACCATTAATATTGTTACTTGTTACTAAAATCAAAAGTTACAAAATTTTATGTTGTTAATTTAATCATGAGTCATGAACAAACCCTAACACAATGACTAAATAGCAATATACAGGGTAAATAAAAAGTCCCGAAACAGTGATCTCCGTTATTTATAAAGCAATTTTGTAACAAATTAGGCCCAGTTGTACAATGTCACTTTAAACTTCAGTTTATAGTTAAATTGTGGGTTAAAGGATTTGATTGGCTAATATTTCAAAAGTTGACCAATCATGTTTCTGAAATTTGAAGTTTAAACTGATATTGTACACCCGTCTTAGTGTGCTTAGACAGGACAGAGTGAAAATTCTGCTATCAAATTTGCTAACAATCTACAAACTTCAAATTTGTAGTTAGTGGCGCACTTCTGCACGGCCAAGGGGGGCTTATTTTTTTAAATAGCCAATCACTAGTTTTCATTACATATTCTTAGAGTAAATTTTTTTGGATTAGCAACATCAAAATTTAAGAGAAAAACCCAAAGTAAGAAAAACGGTTATGTTAATTAATTTAACAATATCACTAGCTTGCGTTGAAAAAAACGCTATTCTTTTCTTAGTAATGTGAAAGCAATTTATTGTATCAAAAATTATTTAAAAAATGAAAATTGAGGTACATGTATAGCATGTGTGATGTGTGTAATATACATACGCTGAAACAGCAATGTTAGGTCAACTGCAATCATTTCATCGTAAATTTTGATCAACGAGCTGACAGAGGAAAGAGGGAATGCCAGATCTTTGTGGGAAGTGTCCATGGAAATAGCGTATCAAAAATCGATTTTTAAGGTATATGTTGCAATATCTACTTCCATTGTTCACATTCCTGAACGCGCCTGCTCCTATTTATTCCTGTATTACAAAATTATTTCGCTGTTGCCTGCTCACGCACTCTACACCCCCAAATATTTCGTTCATTGACTGGATTATACAGGGTGAGTTTTTTTTTCATTTTAAGCATTAGGATCTCGAAAAGCGTAAGACATAGAGTTCGGTTAAACGAGGAAAGAGTTGTCGTTTTAAGAGCTTATTCAAGATATGCTTTTGTTTTTTGAAAAAAATCCACAGTTTACTAGATGTGGGCGAGAAACAGATTTAGTGATTTTTCTTTTAAATGCTGTAGAATCGTTAGTATTAGAAATACATGATATAAGGATAATTGTACTTACTTCTACAAATAAACATGATAAAGAACTGTTTGTATTATTAAGAGTAGTAAAAACAGATTTTGCCATGTGAAACATTTTTGTTCTCTTAATTACTGTCTATTATAATATTTAACTTGCAGTTAGTTGTGCGAGGGAGCACCGTTTTGTTGAAACCAGCGTAAATTACGCCGTGTTTCCAAATCTAACCCATCCTACATATCTTGAAATTCATTTGGTAGAAAATGAAGATAACACTGGCCTGTCCAATTTTCGTCGTAAATGAAAGGTACCTATCTCACTAGATATTGTTTTCCATGGCCAACTCTGTTTACTTACCTCTCAATAATACGAAAATTACTGCAGGGCGTTTATTTATTAAAGTCCATTTAGCAAGCCTTATATCGTTATAGAGAAAAATTTGTCCTTTTTAAAAATATCAAAGCCAACTATGACTACCATTAAAAAAAATTAAAGTTTGTATTATTGTATAACTCAAAAATTATAAGATCTAAAAATAAATTAGAAAGTTCATCATGTTAAGCATTAAAATGTTTGAAACTTTTATTCGTGTCATTTTGTTGTATTTCTAATAATAACGATTCTACAACAGTTAAATGAAAAACGAGATGAAAAATTACTAAATCTGTTTTTCGCTCATATCTAGTGTACTGTGGATTTTTTTCAAAAAACAGAAGAATATCTTAAATAAGCTCTTAAAACGACAACTCTTTCATCATTTAACCGAATCCGTATGTCTTATGGTTTACGAGATCCCAATGCTTAAAATGAAAAAAAACTCACCCTGTATACATTACCTCATGTAGTACTATTAAGACATCATGACCAATTTAACAGACTACAATGGATTTCTTAACAAGCAGGCCCAGGCGTATTGGGCCCCCAGTATAGATCAGACGAAGAGTCCCCCCCATAAATCAACCACATAAAACTGATACTTACCTGATAAAAAAAAAGGATTTCTGGGTCTGAACTGGGCCTCCAGTTTCAAATTTAATAATCATACCCTCTTACCAGGTGTCATGGAAATGACTTCTGTTCGGTATGACTGTCGCAGTTGAAGACCTTCGTTTCATTGTTTGTAACAATCTGTTCACCAAAGAATGCTCTTGACAAATTCCTTTCCTCTACACTTTCTGCTCTGATAGAAGTATTCAGGGAACATATTGAGAGGATACTACCATCATTCTTAAATATTCATATACACTGTATCCCCAAGATAAAGATGTCTATCATGGGGATCTCGAAAACCGTAGCAGATACAAAGATGGTCAAATTACGATTAGGGCGTTGTGCGCGGGTGCACCATCTTGTTGAAACCAACAGTTTCAAAATTTTGTTTTTTTTGTGTGCTATCCTGGCTATGTTATATTATATTATGTTATATGTTGTGTTCGTAATAAAAAATGCTACTCATTCAGTACAGTATGTACTTTTTTTACGGGCCATATAAAGAAATAATTGATGATGATTTCATTGAAACCAAACGTTGTATTGAAAATTGCTCATCGCTGTCTTGTAGAGCTCAAAAGAAAGTGTTTTTTTTATTTTTTTTGTATCTTAAATATCAGAAAAAAATAAAAACAAAATCGGCAAATTTCGGAATTTTTTAGTTTTCTTTACAACATGATAATAGAGGTTTAATTGCGCAATTTTCCCTAATTTGACCATCTTCGTATCTTCTATGGTTCCTGCGATCTCCATGATAGATTTTCTTATCTTGGACACGTGTACAGGGTGGCCAACTAAGAATGCGAGGTACTGTATCTGAGAATCTATCCATCGTAGAGGCTTGCGGTAAAAAAATTTATTACTAAAACGGTCACGAGAAAAACCTGGAAAATACTTTTTAGTTTCTGAAATGCCCGCTAGGGGGCGTAACTGCAATCTGGAATCTAAAAAAGTGATGTTTCTGTGAATTCCGCTATATTAACCTAACAAAAAAATACCCGGTCTTTGAAGTCGACGATAATCTGAACAATTTTTGTTTGACAATTTTTCATGTATCTCTAAAAATGAAGTGGTGGGGGGTATTCAAAGGTTTCCGTAAAAAACACCCTGTATCTTCGAAACGGCTGAGCCGATTTAAACAAACTCGGATTAGTTCAAAAGAGCTATTCTTCAGTTTTGTTAGTTTCACATATCGCCGATTGAGGGTTTTTTTCGACATTCCGACAGAAATGGTTAATTTATTATATAATAAAAATAATTCCGGTAAAATTATCTTAAAAAAATAAAATTTTGAGGGTATAAAATTTTCTTTGGCCTAAATTTTAGGTTAGGAACAAGATATCGAGATGCGGTTTTCGCGAGCTTGTTTAGGCATCATTTAGCTACTTTTTCATGAAAAAAAAAATCGAACCAGTGCATTTAATTTTTTTGAGAAAATTAACCATTTCTGTCGGAATGTCGAAAAAAGCCCTCAAGCGGCGATATGTGAAACTAACAAAACTTCAAATATTATAATATTTGTAGCCGAAGAATAACTCTTTTCAATTAACCCGAGTTTGTTAAAATCGGCTCAGTCGTTTCGAAGATACAGGGTGTTCTTTACGGAAACCATTGAATACCTCCAACCACTTCATTTTTAGAGATACAGGAAAAATTGTCAAACAAAAAAGGTTCAGATTATCGTCGTCTTCAAAAACCGGGTATTTTTTTTAGGTTAATATAGCGGAATTCACAGAAAAATCACTTTTTTTAGATTCCAGATTGCAGTTACGCCCCCTAGCGGCCATTTCAGAAACTTAAAAATATTTTCCAGGTTTTTCTCGTGGCCGTTTTAGTAATAAATTTTTTTACCGAAAGCCTCTACGATGGCCAGGTTCCCAGATACAGTACCTCGCATTCTGATTTGACCACCCTGTACAATCAAGTATTATATCCCAAGTGCACGCCAAATACCTGAATAGTGCACGAGCGAAATACTCAGATCTGGTATTTGGCGTGCACGAGGGATATACGGGGATGACTATTGCCCGACAAAAATTGTGCCTTAACCACTACATCACTTCGCCGGTTTTTTGCCTTTTTTAATTCATGCAGATTAGGCTTTTTTGGGCATGATATGCGAGTGAAATAGTGTTGACTGATTATAGGCCAAATCAAGACAGACCTTTAGAAAGGTCTTTTTTGCGTTTTTAAATGTCTACAGTACGTCAAAATATGAACACTTCTTCCAAAAGAACCTCCTACTCACCATCATCGTTTTCTGCAAGGAAATATCTGTTCTCTAGCGATTTTTTGTATGTGGGAGGACAGATCAATTGTTTGTTCTGCAAACTTCTGCAGATTTGCTTTTGACAACCACATTCAGTACACCTTTGTCTCTATTGAACATGGGCTAGACCCCGCTACCTTCTTAAAAATAAAATGTAATTTTATGAACAAAATTAATTAAACAAATTATTTCAGTTGTATTCGCGATTCAGATTAACACTAGAGGCGCTGATGTAATTTACTTCAAACGCGAGTGACGTGTGTACGACAGGTCGGAAGCGAGTACCAACAAAGGGAATGTCGTAGCCTTCAACAAGATCTTATTGATGGTGGCTAATGGAATACTGATCTGCCACACAAAAATGCGCTGAAATCTCACACGAGGATCATTTTTTGTAATGATTGAAATTTGATTTGAAAACAATTAGGGTAAAATTAAACAAAGTGCCAGTACTGTTAAAGGCGACACAGCCGGTGGTAGATTTATGTCGCTACAAATTGAATAATCGGATCAATTAATTCCATTACTCAATTAAACCTGCATTGCTTTTCAGCTTGACTTGATAATCACAAGATCGACACAATTCAAAAGAAGTTACAAAGTGCAAAAGTCAATATTTTAATCTTCCTTCGCTTGATTGCAAAACTGATTATAACACACTTTGTAATTATCCAATCTGAAATGTACGTACCATATCGATGGTGACCTCGCCAACCTTGGTACTGCCGTGTGACTTCCGAAACGATTTAATACGCTCCTGTTCTTTCGGTATTTTCGCTGCCAAAACAGCTTTGAGATCGGTGCTGGCATCGCTGAGTTGTCGCAGTACAGCAGTGAGTTGTGGGAAAAGTTTCTGCAAAAAAAAAACCAGTGTGAGCATTTGGTAATTGCACAGGCACGAGAATTACATCCTTCTCTTCCTCCTCCGGCTGCGTAATGGACATGGTGTGTCCCGCGAATTTAAGAGGAACATCACTAAAACAAATTGAGTTTTTTTGTAATTTGGTACCGAACACGCAAACTTAGCGATTTAATGAGCAGAAAATGATTTGTAATTATGATTACATAAACACTGAAATGGGAGGTGGCCTCGGTAAATGAAGGCTACATCTTATCCCTAGATTTTGCTGTACAATTTTTGAAAAAAAATACTGACTTGAAAGAGTGAAACAACCTTCTACCACTGTAAGAGCGCCGCAAAGAAGTGCAAAAAAAATTATTCATCATTTTTCAGTTTTCAATGGAATTTAACTTGAATAAAAAGAAGAGGTAATGACAAACACCCCTTTAAAAACTGACAGATCACTTTGTAGATGGTGCAAATGCAAGGCACTCTTGATTCCAAAATTGTACATACAAAGTGTTTCAAAATGATAATTTGAGAACACATCGAGCAAAATTTTTCTGTTTCTTGAATCGTTTAAATGGCCAGCTCTTTTCTACATGACTTCAAGATAATTTAAAAAGGAAGTGAAGTAAAGTCCTTGCAAAAACCATTTGTAAATTCATCAAAGAATCACTGGATGTTTTATTTCTTTAAGGCTAGAGAGCTTTGTAATGTTTATAATCGTACACTTCGAGGCTTAAGGATTAAAAAATGTGCTATTGTTTGCGTTTTGTCTGCCCGTCCGTCCGGACCCACTTCTGGGGGAATGGTCCTAGAGTAATTGTTTGCAATAGCTTATACCTTGAAAGTGCCAGACGGCCATCAAATTTCGCTGCCTTAATGGGAAGAGGGGGAGGGGGGGTCCCCGGCAATTATTTCCCGAGATGCTGTTTTTGAAAGTAAAACGTGCCTAACCTTTACATAGGACAACAAATTTTGCATACACATACTTTTAGTGGTGCCAAGTTAAACTTTTGAAAATGGCAGGGGGGGGGGGCAAACATGTTCTACCCTTAATGGTATTTTAATGAATCGTCATATGTTTCATGGTATTCTAATTAAAGGTCTCAACGTTTTCTACCAACTACCGCCCTTGGTTCTGACCCCTTATCAAAGAGGGAGGGGGGGGGTAGTGGAACTGGTTTTATTCTTCATGGTACGCTAATGAAAGGTTCCAACGAAAAGAATTAATTTCTACCTTCTTCGATACCTTATAGTGATCGGATATACCTTATATCTTCAGAACAGATTCCTCACAAAGGGCGATTGGGACGTCTGGAAGAAATATATGCACTGGTAATGTCAAAACTTTAAAAGCGAATATCTCGAAGCGAACACGGTTTGTCAGAGGAAAGTACTCCCAAAGACAAAATGAATCGACTAGACGACACATATCTATTTGTGAAGTCAAAGCAAATACATTGACAACGAGGTGTCGGAAGAAGGTACTCATACAAGGCAAGTGGAACGTCAGGAAGAGACATATCTGTTGGTGATGTCAAAGCTTTCAATGCAAATATATGCGGAATGGAGTGACAAGAGAATAACCCAACCATTTACTAACCTATTTCGGTTTTTTTAAAAACGCGCTTTATCTGTAGAAGAGTTGTGGACAATTTATACTTATTTCAAGTTTTAGGCATAATTTCGTTCACAGCGATTTGTAGAAATAGAAATGGTAAATAAAGTAAAGTACTTAATTTTACCGACTCGTCTTTATCCTCCCTCTGTACCGCCATCCTAGCAGATCATTCAAATTGTTCACTGCATTACCGGCCACTAATAAATCTACCACTCGATCTACCACACATACGGAAGGCACTCCTCAAACAATGCCCCACATTTCGATATAAACGTAAAAGTACCCCAATTATTTACCTACGTCAGTAATGGGATTAGCTTGTTTTATTGAACCACGTTCGTGTTTCTTTGTCGTGAAAATAATAAGAATCATAAATAAATAATCCCTATTGACAACTGACCTACAAATAGATACTTGACGGTGGTGCGAGTGTGACAGTAGTCACGAGATCGGCAATTTTGATAGATTTTTAACAAAAAAAAAATAGTTTCGTAATTATAGAAAATAGAAAGCATGCACTCAGAAATGAAAATTTTAAAAACCTTGTGGAATATGACCGAATTTTCCTTACATTTACACTCGAGTAAAGAGAAAGTAGACAATTTCTCGCAAAAATGTGACAGTCGAGACTTGCGGTGTGCAAAAAAAACAACGTTTCATAATGCATCGAGATTAGACTAACAGAAATTGTTTACGAAATAAGTTGTTTTTATGAATGAGCGCAAAAGCAAATTAATTGAACTTTCTATGGATCGGAACGCTAGAACGTAGCAATGAACTTGATCGGGTGAATATGTCGCCATGGCCCAGTTATGAATTCAAAATTAAATGTACCTAACCTAAGGTTCAAGGTAATAGACAAATTAATGCTATTGACATTCTATATTAACAATAGTTATGTAAATGGTTCGTTGACTAGCTTCGGAATGTCTTGAATTTTAAATACTGAACTTTACCTAACGTTTCGTTACTTAAATTCAATAACGACGCCTTCATGGCAAGGAGTTCCACTGCGGGGCCATCTAAGTTTGTTGAATTATATGAACAAATATGAAACATTCAGTTTCGAAAGCGACTAAAATAAATTTGCAGGGTAGGGTCTAACAAAGAACGTTATTTATTAACTAGCGTTTTGTCATTATTCTCAATAACCGAAATAAATCAATTAAAAAAATAAATTCGTTTCACCTTTGTTATACAGGGTGTCACAGCTTGAGGTGTTATGTGGGTACCTTGTATTATTAAAAAGAGAATTTTGCCTTTGTGAGTACTCTCCTCCGACAAACCGTTTTCGAGATATTAATAATAATAATATTTATTCGTCGGATTTCACAAGAGTGTTTCGACACGTCGAAATATACACAATATATATAAATAATATAATAATAAATGCAGACACTAAAACATAAAAAATAAATTATGTAAAAAACAGCAAGCAAATTTTTAAAAACAAACAAATAGGTAAAAAAAAAAAAAAAAAACGGAAGCTAAAACCAGAACACGTCCGCCCTGATGGTTGACAAGTACTCTTCGACGGAATAGAATGCTTTACTTAAGAAATATTTCCTAAGTACGCTTTTAAATTCTTTTAGACTATACCTTTTTATTTTGTCCGGCAAAGGATTATATAGTTTAACATTAAGAGAGTTTTTTATTGATTTGTTTAGCCTGAACCTTGTGGTACGGAGTTGATTTTTAGATCTGGTATTGTAATTGTGAAATTGACTATTCGTTGTCATCAAGCATGATTTTTTATGAATATTAACTAATACTTCCAGAATGTACATAGATGGCAATGTCAAGAGCTGCAGTTCTATAAATAGGGGCTTACAATGATCGAATGGATTGGCAAATTTCATTAGGCGTATTGCTTTCTTCTGCAATCTAAAAATCCTAATTGTCGTAGTTGCATTTCCCCATAAACTTACACCATATAAAAGATGAGATTGGAACAGTGATTTATAAGTTATTATTAGCGTGAGATTATCTACTAATACTCTAAGTCGTCTAATAACAAAAAGAACGGACGACAGTTTTCCGACTAAGCGGTCAATATGGCCTTTCCAATTTAAATTATTGTCAAGTGTGATTCCTAATAAACTTGATGTTAAGCTAGGTGCATTCTGACACGAAAAATATAGTTCATTTGTTTTACTACTATTTAGTTTTAGCTTATTAGCTATAAACCAACTTTCAGCCCTTAGAGTCTTAGAGACGCCATATTTTTATCTAGAACTGTACCGTCAATAGCATTTGAGACCAAAGTGCTATCATCTGCATATAAAACGCTGTTGTTTGGTTTAAGGAAGTTTGGAAGGTCGTTAATGTATATCACGAACAGCAGTGGTCCCAAAACCGACCCTTGCGGTACACCATGAGTGACTGTTCCAATAGCTGATGCACTACCGCCAATGCTAACACATTGTTTTCTATCGCTCAGATAAGATTCTATTAATTTTAAGGGCACACCTCTGACTCCGTATTTTTCGAGTTTATCAATCAATATATTATGCGATACGCAATCGAATGCTTTACTTAAATCACACATCGTGATGCCTACATGCTCGCCTTTCTCGAGCCCTTTAAACTTTTGACATCACGAATGGATATATTTCTTCTAAACGCCACAATCGCCCTTTGTGAGTACCCTCCTCCGACAATCTGCTGTTGAGTAATAACCGATCAGGATAAGGGTCGAAGAGAAGTGTGATTGGTAGAAATTAATTTCTTTCAACGAGACCTTTCATTAGAGTTTTTTTCCTGCAAAGTGTGTAAAAACGACGAGATGATGGCGCTCCTATGGCCGTTTGCACTGACAAATTTAAGCGTACCTTAAAATCCATGGCAACCATTGTCTCAATAATCGTTACCATGGATTTTAACCTGCGCCTAAGCTACGTTCCGCTTAAATTTGTCGGTGCAAACGGCCATTAGATAAGCATAAAAGTTCATTTACTTTGAGGTATAAAATTACCGTCAGTTCTTTTTGTTCGGTCAACATTTCAAATTTACGTACCTAGGTTAGGTACTCAGGAAAGCCTCAATTTATGTAAATTTTCTACCTTTGCTAAAATCAGACAGAATAGTAGGTATTGTCATTGCACTTTTCAATGGAAGAAATTAACACTATACGAGACTGAAATAATATGTCGAATTGTACTGATAATTATTTCAAATCATAAAAGACTTTATTAACACTCAAAGTAGAATATTTTTGCATTTTGGACGGTGCCCACACGAGTGTCTAACTAAACATGTTTGTTTTTCTCAGTTTGCATGCAATAAAACGAAATTAAATGGTAGATCTATAATAGAAACCAAGGCTAATAACAGAAATAGTAACAAGAATCTTGGATTGCTGCCAAGAACTGAACAGATATGATTT